CCCCAAAACCCCAAAACCCCAAAACCCCAAAACCCCAAGTCAGTGCCAAACCATAGATAAAATAATTAATCTAGCACATAATTAACATAAAATTACAAATGGATTCATTGCCAAAAAAATTATTAAAAGTGAACAGAAAGTACAAGCTCAGCCTTAATTCCCCAATGAGGCTGTTCCCAGAACTGAAGAAGTGAAAGAACATCAGAAAGATATCCCTCAACCAGTCAAATGAAGGCGTAAGTTTGGAACTGGGCCTCTGGAAAGGAGTTGAAGTTGGGATTCATACCTTTATGAGCGGTTATTCTATACCTTGCCAAACTTGTATCTTATGGTTACTATAGCTCCAATCTCCTAAGATGGAAAAGAGAAAGATAGGTGTAGATAGAATGTAAGTTCCTATAGTTGAATGGTGTCGTTATCTTGTTATAGAAAGTCATTGTTCTCTCCTAAGAAGGAAAGGCAACCTCAGCAAGATCAAATTCCTCAGAGAAAGCCTATAATGTTCAGAAGACTTAATAGACAAAGAGGCAATACAGGTGTTTTCTCTGAAGAGCCTAAGATTAGGAACCTGGCTTTACAGAGACTTCAGTTATGTGGCATGGATGAGAAAGCTGAGATGGTGATGTCTCCTACAGCAAAGAAAGTAAAAGAGAACATCTTCAGTTTTAAGAATCAGAACCGTACCTTAAGAGCATTTTCCCCTGTTCCTGACGTAAAAACTCCTAAAATAAAGGTAGGAAGAGTGACTAAGAAGCTGATGAAGGATCTACTTTAATAATGTTTTTGTATTAAGAAAATTTTCATTGCAAATCAATTCTCTCTTATTTATCATCAACTTTCTTGGGGTAAATTAGAAGATAGTCTCCATTAAGAATTAAATTATTTCATGGTTTACTTAATAAACTTCTCTACGAATCTTACATATAATTCTTTTGGAAGGTTTGGTAGCCTATTATCCAGTCAGTCTACCATTTACTCTTGTTCTATGAAAACAAATTATAATTCTCCTGGCTATCTTAGCGTATGCATAGTTGCCTACAAGCCGATGTAATTCAACTAAAAGTGATTTCATTAACGCAGAAGTATAAATATTACCTTTAGAAAAAGTAGGCAAAGTCTATTGCAATATTAGAAGTCACAAATTATATTATTCCTGCAGCAGACACTCTGACTTTTGATTGCAGCTACAATTAATATTTCAGTACTCACAAGTTCCCAAAAGACTCTGGAGTTAATAATTTTAGGAATGGAGTCCCTCCAAAGTAATTTTAGACCAAATACAAAAAAGTTATAGATGAATTACCGATATTATTCATTATTACCGAAAGGGCGATTTCAATTATGAATTTTTGACCTGGGGTTTTGGGGTTTTGGGGTTTTGGGGTTTTGGGG